CACGGAGCTCGCTTCAACCGGCGTTCAAAACGCATCCCCCAAGTATCCCCAGACGATATCGATATCCGATGTCCGCCAACTTGAACCACTTCCAGGCGATTGATTAATATCCCACATATGGCACAGCATACATCAGGCTAGATGTTCTCTAGACTCTATTTAATAAACTCAAACCGCTGGCAATTAACCCTGCCGCCAGATGTGTATCGTATAGATCGCTGTCAGTGGAAGGACTGCGTGACTCAGTGCGATCCGTCGCTTTGGCCGGCACGTGCCCAAGTTGAGTAGGATGAAGGACAAGCAGGAAAAAGATAATTTAACTATTAGGGGCAGGTTGAATTTTTATAGTCGTAGTTGTGTGTCCGCGTAGATGGCTGTCTGGATCTTGCTTTTCTACCCCAGGTAGTAGACTAGTAGTCGGCGGAATGAGTTTCCTCCGAGCCCCCAAGGCGAAGGACCTTGCGGATATTTTAATCTTCAAACGCCAAGGCAATAGGCAAACGGAACGAATCCCCGAGGTAGCCGAAGGTCTGCGTTTCTAAGCGAGTTGAAGATGCATGCGAGGATACATGAAGGCTTGAAAGCGGGACTTGATACTTATCTGATACATGCGTGTTTGATACTAGCGATAAAAATACTGTACAGTCCCCTAATCGAGGTTAAAACCCTAAATAGCCCGTTGATTTTACACCCATTGCCCGTTGCCCGAGTTAAATTACCCAATAACCCTGTAAGGATTTAGCGTTTAGCATTGGGGAGCGAAATGCCTCACATGATACCCAAATAATCCCCTAAAATTAAAAAAATTACGAGCTCGCAGATCCGCCCCAGAGCGCCATCACACTGGACTGCAGTGCTTTGCCCTTCTGCATGATCTCGTCGACGTACCCCGGTGTCTGCGTCGGGATCTGGGCCCTGAACTCCGGCGTCGATACCCAGCCGCGTACCAGCGGGTGTCTGTGCGTCGGCGCGTATTGGCACTGCTCGAAGAGCTCGAGCTGGCGGCGAATCGCTGGAGTGTCTTCAAAGAGAGGGACACCTTCAGACACACAGCATCAGCTCCCATAAGAGCAGAGATACTTCTTGACGAACGGTCTTGCAGGATCTCCAGTGCTTCGCTCGGCTCAATTCGGCGGGAGAACATGACTATGTGTGTTCGTGTTCGAGCTCGGATTTGAGAATTCACTCGCAGACGACGCACGGTAAGCACAGATCGCGAGACCGCCCCGTGCTTCGTCCATGCAGTGCAGAAAGACGCGCGAATCGCTGGCTTGCAGTGCATTGCTCACGAACTGGCACAGGAGCGGGAGCGAAACGAGAAGAGACTCCTTGGACGTGTAGGACACGATGAAATGCTTGCGGACCTGTTTAGTGAGGATGTCCCCGGCCTCGGAAACGTTGTCTGGGGTAATCGAGACAAGGTGTGTGACACCAAGGTATTCAAGAAATGCAGCTGCGTGGGACTTGTTCGACGGGAAGTCGCTAGAAAAAATTGGAGCAGCGAACGAGCCACCGAGGCGTCACGCACAAGCTGAGAAATAGTCGGTCCGTGATGGGCATGCCGTCTGTCACTCGAAGGGAGTTGGCTTCGTCAAAATCCTGGCGGGTTCTCCATGCAATGTAAGGGGATGACGTAGGTGATACATCATAATTGCATTCAGCAAAAACCTGGAGCTGGCGAATAAAATTGTAATTTGGTCTGCTTCGTGGCCGTCCTACCATCGGGTTACGAGGAGTAAAAATCGGGTTATAGAAGGGTTTCTTACGGTTTCGAACAAATTGTATCGCCCGCGACGCAGATAATAAACGCGAGAACATGACTGTGGTCGTCCGATCAGCCAGGTGACCGTGGAGGGAAGGGAGGAGCTCAGTGCATACGGTAAGCGCAGACGATTGTTGCGCTGCGAGATATTCCCATAACACAATGAACGAGTACTCGTCCCCCGCCATTCAAGGCTCCTTGGATAAACCGGCAAGTAGTCGGAAGATGCTGGAGAATGTCGAAGTGCTCGTCGTCCATCATTGGGAGAGTCAAGTGCTTCACGTTCGCATTGGGTGCCAGATAGTCGGGACAAACAGACAGAATATGCGTTACTCCGAGACGAGATATAAAATGAGGAGATTCCGCTGCCGACAAGCTGGCCAGATGAGTGCGGGACTGCGGGGGTGCCTGAGAAACGGTGCCTTACTTCCCGAGGTACAGTTGGTCATCTATGATGGCATTGAAGCTCTCCGCATCGCGAACCACTTCTTCGCCTCGTAAGAGATGTGGATTACCGGTGGCCGTCGACATGGAAGAGGCGGGCTGCATGAGAGAAGGGGGAAAGCTGTACCATTGCCGTCGTCGTTGTCACCGGGAGTGGCGGTGATATTTGGCAGTGTTTGCGTTTTGTTCAACTTTTGTTGCCGAGACACCTGAATACATTCGGGTATCCCCGGATGTACAAATAGAATTACAGGACTCGACTAAGATGAGGGTTTACAGAAGAAGCGGTGACGGTCGCATTATACGAAGCAGAAAAATATGAGGTTATAGCTACCTGTAGAAAAAAAAACTCCGCAGCTCTCGTGGCTATAGTTTACCATAGAATTAATCGTCCAAAAACCGTTGAATAGCCTCTGCTCCTTTCCGAGGCGTGATCGTGCATTTGAACTGCTCGGGACGGCTATGTAACATCATTAGGTAAGGAGCGAGGTCTCGAGTAAGTACAGACCTTATACTGCCATCTAAGAATCTCCCAGACGGAAGGACCGGAACGCCATCTTCGATTGTGGGGCTTATGTCGAAAAATACCAAGACTGAGGAAAACAAGAGCCAAATGGTCATGTCTGCGAGATGAACTCCTAAATCACGGTGAGATACATGTTTTACTGGGATGTGCTGATCTTACCCGGACAAGCTCTTGAGAAAAATGAATCAGAATCTCATTATATCCGAACAATAAATTTCGTTACCTGCGTCCATACCCAAACAACATATCCTTGGGATCCCTCTCTTTAGAATGGTTCGCCGTTTCGATGAAGCGCTCGGGGCGGAAGGTCTCTGGGTCAGCGTACGTATTAGAGTCACGGTAAAAGAGCCTGGGAGGTAAATACGTCAAATTATCATATAGACTCAAAGGGACCAACTCACCAATTGTTGGTGATAAAAATGGCGCCCTTCGGAATAAAAAAACCGTTGTGTACGTCGTCCTCAGCCGCAACGTGTGGAAGCCCTAAGATAATTAGTTCCGGCGCATTTAGTTTTTGACCCGCTCATACCTATTGGTCCCATGGAATAGGTTCGAAAAATCTCAGAAATGAGGGCCTCCGTGTATGGTAAGCGAGATCGATCTGACAAGTGAGGGACAGTACAGCGCCCCAAAACGGCGTCGAGCTCGGTTTGAGCTTTATGCTGGGCCTCCGGCTGTAAGACCATGGCAAGGAAGAATGTCTCAATTACGGCTGCCGTCTGTGGGTGACTGTTAGCAGAGAAACCCTCGCGATTGAAGCACAACAGACAGTTTCAGCTCCGCCTAAAAAAAGTTAATATGGTATTAAAAGTATGGAGCCAGCACCCACCACTGTAAATTCCGGCAGCGGCCCATTTGATTACGTGCTCCTCTTCGCTCGTATACTTTGTGGAATCGAGGAGGTCTGATACAAAGCAAGAAATCGAGGTACCCGTTGCCTACTCTCAAATTAGGCAAACAACGGGGAATTACCCACCATTTGTTTCTTGACCCAGTCAAACGGCGTATCGAGCATGCTTTGGAGTGTTTTGTGATAATGGGCAGCTTTCTTCTTCCAGGAAGTACCCGGAAACCCTTGGGGAACGTATCGAACTACGGGGTTCAGTCAACACTGTATGTTGCGATGGGAAAAAAAGGCCTACGAAAAGGAAACACGTCGACTGCGAATGCATTCGGCGCCGTTGTTTCAGAAAACTGGTCCATCGCTTCATCAACTAACTTGACCAGAGGGTCATCGTGCTCATTAGCTTCGTAGCCATACGCGATTTTAAGGACGATCGCTCCGGCGTATCTGTAAAAACAGGTTTCCAACATCCGAGGCAGCGAACAATACCTCACACACCTGTAACCGTGTTCCTTCCACATGTTCGGACTCTGGAGGAGACTGTGCAGGAATGCGTGTGTTGCCTTCTCGGACATGTGACTGTACGCGGATTCGACTTTGGAGCGGGTGCCTAAGAACTGTGCAATCAAGCGACGATATTCTGACCACGTCTTCCCAAACTGAATCAGAGCTGGGCCTTGATCCCATCCCACAAGCTCCCCGCCAACGACGAGGTGTGGACGATTACTGTAGATGCGACTTTTCTTGTCGAGCATGTCGATTGCATAGTTCACATCGTTGAGGACGATGATGGATTGCCCGAAAACCCTCAAGTGGACGATAGGACCTGAAATCAGTGGGAATAAGTTTTTTGCGTTACCCAAGCTCGAGAGTCATTTACCGTGCTCCTTTGCCCACTGAGAAAATGTTAACCACGGCTGGGATTTAGGCAGATCTGCTGCATTTCCCAGAACGGGCAGCGGCTTGGGGCCGGGTGGAAATGGAGCCACATTCTTCTTGCGTCTAGTGTAGTAAAAGGTTGCGATGAGGGCTGCTGCCCCGAGAGCGAGAATGACCGTTCTGTTGTCTTGCGGCATGGTGGGATGAGAGGAGTGGGCGACATCCTGTTCCGTGAATTCACCCAAATTAACTACGGTTGTTCCGGTGGGCCCAGATAGACACAAGGCCGTGTCGCCCGTGCTGCATCGTTTTAAGCTCAGGCGGCCCGAGCCAAATCAGCGCCGGAGCTATGCCTGCCGAGAACTTCCATATTGGATACAGAAGCAAGTGTGTCCCATTGACATGCATTAACAGTCGATAGTCTTGGCTTGGACTCGAGGTTGAAGGTGCTGTCCGATTCAAGTTGTTGATGCCATCAGCCAATGACGTTCAAGCAAGTTCACGGTTATATAGTCTAGAAGTCTTAGAATCAACCCTACCTATACGGCGTCATAGCTCAGTTGGGAGAGCAGCAGACTGAAGATAATTGGTGCTTATGTAATCAGATTACGTAATCTGAAGGTCCCGTGTTCAAGCCACGGTGATGCCATTCTTTTGCCCGTGGTTTGAACACTTTTAGGTGACCGCGGTTCGAGCACTGGCCATATATCAAGCCACGGTGATGCCATTTCTTTTATCTTTTTACCTAGTTCAGCTTGCCTTGAGGCCCTCTTTCTTTCCTTCGAGTACGGTAGCATTTGGGCAGGTATGTCTCAACCAATGAAAATCTGGAATTCTGTCGTTGATCGAAAATTTGAACAAATCGCAAGCAAATGTCAACAAATGTTCAACGACGCCAAGTCCCGTGTATAGCCCGGGTAAGTGTCCGCCGTTCGGAATAGCTTGGTTATTTCTCAGCAGAGGGTAGTAAACAGCATATCGTGATTTGCTGAGGACAAGGGGGGAAAGCGAGTAAAGCGTACATAGTCGAAATTTGTAGTTCTAGAAAACCACTAGCTTGAGAGAGTATCGCAGGTCAGACTTTTCCATCTGCGGTGGGCTTAGAGAATCTAAGACGATGGATTCAATCTAACGCTGAATAGATGTACGAAATTGAAGACACGTCATGTGCGGACATGCCCGCATCACATCCCCAAATGACTACTCCGGTCCGTGGGGCTCGCGTCCCATTCTCTGCCGTCACTTCTTACTAGCAGCTCGATATCCCGCTTGTTGTGGTGGTATACCTTCCCATTCGGTTAGACTTTCGCACACTGTCCATTCTCCACCCCCTGAGCTTACTACTCAGGCTCGAAGATCCAATTTCCGACAGGTTAGCGAAAAACACGGACTCGTAGACCAAGGTTTCATTCCAGGATCCGCGCTAGGCGCCGCTTGAATATCTAGCCCTTTGGGGCGTTTACACTAGCCCTGACGGGGACGCAGAGTCACGGAAAAGAGCATTGGTGGCTCTCGGTGGAATGTATTTGTTAAACGATATCCTGGGAGCTGCAACGCCCTGCGCAAAAGAGTCTCCCTGGGAAATGGTAATGAATCCCGTCGCACTACGGTGCAGGATTTATTTAGCTTTTGTCAGCCTCTCCGAAGCGTGCGCGACATACTGTGGTGATCCGAGCCTCAGCCCCACGGCCATTAATGCAGGCACCCGCCTCTCGGTGAATACCAGGCTCGATGGAGAGACGGACCGACTCTTGCAGTCTAGCGTGCATTTCAAATAACGACATCTCGCAATACTTAAAAGGCACTTGCTGGGTTGCACTTCCGCAGACTGCAGCATGATTGCACAGACCCTTCCCAGCCAGATTTCTGCTCTTTTGTCCCTTATCAACGAGGCGGCCAGGACGCTCGAGGCGGGGTATACGGAGGGTCACGGTTGTGTGCCATGCCTTGACGACACGGAACTACATCCGCTCGACGGGCAAATATCTTCGCCGGAGATGAGGGAGGCTGTTCAGGTCCTCGAAGGCGCTTGTGCTCAACTTTGCGCAACTCTTGCGCGTCCAAACCACATTGTGGTTAATGTAGAGCCATCTTCTCTCTCCTCACTTGAAACTGAAACTGATTTTGAACTAGAAATTCTTCCTGACGGTACATTATCCGAGCCGTTCGCCAGTTCTGTTCTGACTCTAATATTGAATTCCGAGTCCAGGCCCTCCAACCAAGCTGTTTACACGTTGCCCTAAAATTCAACATCCCCGATATTCTTCAACAGAAGCCGTCCGGGATGCACGTCACCGCTATCAGCAAAGTATGCGGCGTTGAGTCCTCGAAGCTTGCGAGGATATTGCGCCTGCTGGCCGCAAAGCACTGTTTCCGCGAAGGTGCCGACCCCGCGACGTTCCCCAAAACGAAGCGCAATTAATTTAATAATTATGTGCCAGTTGAACGAGACGTATTCGCCAACAACCGGCTCAGCGTGCAGCTCCTCGCGTCGAACCCGCTCTACAGCCTCGGGCTACACATGTCAGCTCGCTCGGACTCCGGTTGCACTATGAACTGAATTTATTCATCCCCACAATAGGACGGAAAATATGACGCAAGCGGCGACCATGCTGGCCGACACATTCGAGGATGCGGAATGGGGAGCTTCTGTTCTGCCCACTCACTCTGCGTTTAATAAGTTTACGGGCCAACCCCTGCCGATGTTCGATTTCTGGACTCAGGTACGCGTTCAAGTTCATTTAAATTCCCAACCCCGTTGCGCGGGTTTTCATATATAACTGGACAATATGCGCAGAACCCCGACATGCACTCCCACGGCGAGCGCTTCGGGATCGGCATGATAGGGTGGGGCACCGCCGTCGAGGCCGAGGCGGTCGTCAGCGGTCCGTCTCCCTCGAATTCCCACGGTTGAAATTTGAATTTGAATTTTCTTCGAACCAGCGTACCCCTGGCACTTGCTCCCTCCCGGCGCGAGTGTGTGCGACCTCGGCGGTGGCGTCGGCGCGATGGCGATTCAACTCGCGCGCACGCACCCGGGGCTGAGGCTCGTGCTGCAGGACCTGCCCGAGCGCATGGTCCAGGCGGAGCGCGTCGTCTGGCCCGCCGAGTGCCCCGCGGCGCTTGCGGAGAATCGCATCGAATTTAAGGCGGTCGACTTTTTCAAGGAGGCGCCGGTGGCGGGGTGCGATGTGTACTATGTGAGCTGCGTTGGTGCCTCGAGTTGATTATGCGATGCTCACGAGTGACGATTGTCAGCTGAAGAACATACTGCACGCGTTCCAGGAGGCACAGTGCGTCACTATCCTAAGGGGCATCCGCACGGCCATGAAACCCGGCAGCCGTGTCCTCATCCGTGCGTCTCATGCTCCCTCCTTTTTATTTTCGTTTTGTGCGGATACTGAGCATCCGGATCTGATTTTTCTAGACGAGTACGCGCTGCAGACGGCCGGGAGCAGGGACGACACGAACGACGGGCAGCTTGGCAGGGAGTTACTGCCGAACGGGGCCGGCAGCACGAAAGCCACCGCCACCGCCGCCCGGCAGCTCGCGCGCGCGCCGGCGCCGCTGCTGTCCAACTACGGCGAGGGGCGCATCCGGCAGTACTACCTCGACGTGAGCCTGATGGTGCTCACCAACGCCAAGGAGCGCACGCTGGACGAGTACGTGCGCCTCGGGGCGGCGGCGGGCCTGCGCTTCGTGCGGGTGTGGGCGTTTGGGGATATGAGCGGCGTGGAGCTGTGCGCGGCGGAGGACGCGGAGTGTTAGGTCGATGCGTGAATGTCAGTGCGTGAATGTCAAGTTGATCGGCAAATGAATGGAGGGCAGGCGAACGCCCCCGCCGCTGTGTACATCAATGTATTTTTGACGAGCCTCGAAACCATGTAGTATTAGAAAGGTAGTAGGACTAGTCTCTCGTAGACAGACGCTTCAATGCGAAGCTCGTGCCTCGCTTGTTGAACGTCGTCATGTTACTGGAACACTTTTGTTGACGCTTGCTTGCCATTTGTTCAACTGTTCAGGTGTCAACGAACTTGGAAGATTGTGCGATCTAGATAAAGGCCCGCGGGCGGCTCACTTCCGCATCTTTACGCTTCCAATTTAAAGGCTGCTAGCTGCATAAAAGTGAACTCGCCCGGCGGGTCACGGACTCGTTGTTCAACTGTGGTTTTACCTCCCTATCCCAGTGTTGAACTCGTAGGTCGGGTCGGATCGGGTAGAGCCCAAAATAATTGATTTCGTCGCAGGCAACCACCGCCGAGCCTAGCCTGCGATTCCCCGGCCCCCCCACAGTGCCGATCAGACCCATCCCATTAACAAAAATCAAACCACGGGCATGATTGCGGGAGGGGCATCCTGGAGACGACCAGGGTCCGCGACTCTGCATCCGTGTCAATTGAGGGCGGGGCTTCTGAATCGTGAAGGTAAGTGTGTCGGTATGAGCGGCCGCGGAGCTGTGTGCGACGGAAGACGAAGTAATCATTCAATGAAAGGACGAACAACGAATGCAATGCTCCCGAGTCGCGGATGCAGTCGTCATGCATAACGAATGTATTTTTGTCAGACAAACCTCGAAAGGGGTTTCTGTGAGCAGATCTAAGTATTGGCACCAGTTTGTGTGCAGACTTGGGACTCTGAGGCACTAAGTAGTAGTAGGGTGTTACCTGCAATGAACACCCCTGTTGACGCTTGCTTGCCGCTTGTTCAACTCTCCGTCGCATGCTTCGAAGTCCGCGTAAGTACGCGGAAAGAATGACTTGCTCTGAATCAACTGTCCTTTTACCTCCGAGTCCCTGTGTTGACATCCAAGGGTTCCCTCACCTCACCAAAAAATATCATTGATTTCGTCGATGTCGCAGCACCCACCGCCGAGCGCAGCATACTGAAGAGAGGCGTCCGCATCTCAGCTGAGGGCGGCGCTTCTGAATTATCAAGGTGAGTGAGTGTGTCGGCGTTTAGGCATGAGCGGCCGCGGAGCTGTGTGCAACGAAGGATTCCGATGATTGAATGCCAAAAGAATATGGAAGATGTCGAACCAATGCTCCCGCCTCGACGCGGATGCAGCCGCCATGTATACACTACACATAGACGAATGTATTTTTAAGACGAACCTCGATAAGTATTATTGCGAATGACGACGCGGAGCGAGTCGATCAATGACTGGATGAATGGATGCGGACTCGGATGCAGCCGTCATGCACATACTTGATTGTATTTTTGTCTGGCAGACGAAGCTCTTCGGAATGTGTGCGGAGGACGATTCGGAGTAAGTCAATGGGTGGATCATTGAATGAATGGATGAATCAACGAATGGATGGACGAATCAATGGAGGGACGAATGGACGAGTTAATGAATCAATGACGAGATAGATAGAGGGAATAGAGCGAATAGATGGAGGGAGGGAGGAATGCTCCCGACTCCGACTTCGACTCGGACTCGGACGTGGGTGGCCGTGGATGTAGGCAGGGAATACAGCACATACACCCATACATACGTCTATTTTTGCCAGTGGCGCACCTCGTATACGTATCCAGCATCCACGGTCGTGCTGTGCTGTGCGGTGAATGCAATTAGTCCGTGTGGTAAATGCATCAGTAGTCCGTGCAACTGTGTGCGATTCGCAGACCTGGGATTCAGATTCGGAGGTA